CAAATAGAGCCGTAACATTTCAGTCTAAAGAAAATGGCGGCTTCTCATTACGTCACCCATCAACCCGCCTCAAAGCCAACGCTGATTGGACGTTCGTTTGGTGAACGGCTCCAAATTTTCTTTAACGGAAAGTAGCCAGACTGATCTGCGAGTGAAACCTTGAAAGCTCGCGAGATCAGGATAGTCTCACAAGGCTAATATAACAATGCGGCTTATCTATGGACTTTTACAGCTAACGGCCACTGGGGTAATACCTAAATCTATGGATTTTACCATCCACCGAGTTGACGTCACATTTGCTTCAACACACAAGTACGGTAGCCGCGCATGCGGGAATGCTAACGTCCTCCGGAAGCAGACTTCTACCGCGAGTGGTACAAGACAGAACGGCGGCGAGAAAGACAGACATTGCGAGCGCAAGACAGTTTGTGTGACATCCTTATTATGGAAAACAAACGTACCGGTAGAAATAATAAATAGGAGCTTCCCCAAACGGTTGCCTCTTTCCCGACAATCCTCTCTGTGCACGAACCATATGGTAATTAAACATAAAAAACCTGCGGCTTATAGTTCGGTGAGGCTTGTACATGTACAATTAATGCAATTTAGCTTCTGCGGCTTCTATTCAGGTGCGGCTTATAGTCCGAAAATTACGGTAAAAGGTTGTGTTTTTTTCTGAGAACATCCAGGACCCACGTTTTAAAGTGCAAAGGCGTTCCCAGCACTGAATACTAGCTTACACTTAAAACAGAAAGCTACATCGTAGTTAGCATCAAGCTTATGGTAACCAAATTTAAACTAGTCTGACATCATGTCTGTTAGTGATATTTTATATCCCTGTTTATTGGAAATTATGTTCAATTATTGTAAATATCAATTATTCAGTAAAGTTTTGCTATGTAGCCTTCCTGTTATCCGCTCAAAGTCTGGATCTCTTGCAGCCTGACTAAGCTGTAGATATATTCCAATATGTCCAATTAGTTTAGTAATTAATTGAATCAATTTGACTGTATGATCCGGTTGAATTTTAAAGTGCTTTGAGATGACGTGTTGTGAATTAGTGCTTTATAAATAAACTGAAATGGCTTTAAGACCACATTTATATTTTAAAATAGCTTAATTTTACTCCTCTACACTCAGTAGTGGCGTCCACACTAATGATGGTTGTTATGGTGCGTTCACTGATTAGAGAATAATCAGATTTTTGAGTTTCCAACTAACTGGTCACAACTCAAATTGTATGAAGTTAATTTAGTTCTAGGGCTGCAAATAAGATGAAGCATATGGAAAAGGTTTTTCATCTTGACTTGCAAAATTGTTATTATTTTTACAATTTTGGTATAATAACTGCTTTTTGTTGGTACCTCTTTCAGTTAAAGGCTTTGGTTTTTTACTTAAGTTAATGATTAAGAATTTACTAAATTAATTGACCATTATTTAAATAATTGATTCATCAGGATTAATCCAATTAGTTGTTTTAGTCCTATTCTTGTTCCATTATTTTTGCAAGTAAAGAGCATAAGCATATTTTGTAAATTAAAATTTGAAAAGACAGCAAAGTTTGGTAAATTGAAAATCAGAAAAAAAAGTAAAAGTTATCTAAAAATGAAACTTTAGGAAACTTTTTAATCCCAAAAAAGGAGCAGAGAGTAACTATGCTGTTCTTAGAATTTTTAAACATTTGATATTTGCTGATTTGTTTAATTGTTTTTTAAATTTGTCTTTTTTTAGATTTTGTTTCTGAATTTATTTATTTTTTTTCATTTGCAAAAGTGAAGTTACTCTCAAAACAGGTAATTTTTTTTAATTTTCGGATCATGTGTTTTTTTTGGGACAAATAATGGAGTAAAGTTCAC